ATACACTTGGAATACAAAGGAGGAGGCAAAGCAAGCATTTAAAGAATTATTGAAAGAAAAGCGGGTACCCTCTAATGCTTCGTGGGAGCAAGCTATGAAAATGATCATTAATGATCCTCAGTATAGTGCTTTAGCAAAGCTGAGTGAAAAAAAGCAGGCTTTTAATGCCTATAAAGTCCAGACCGAGAAAGAGGAAAAAGAAGAAGCAAGATCAAAATACAAAGAAGCTAAGGAATCTTTTCAGCGTTTCCTTGAAAATCATGAGAAAATGACTTCCACAACCAGATACAAAAAAGCCGAGCAAATGTTTGGGGAGATGGAAGTTTGGAATGCTATATCAGAGCATGATCATCTTGAAATCAATGAAGATGTTTTGTTCTTCCTTTCAAAAAAAGAAAAGGAACAAGCAAAGCAGTTACGAAAGAGAAATTGGGAAGCCTTAAAAAATATACTTGACAACATGGCTAATGTCACGTATTCTACTACTTGGTCTGAAGCCCAGCAGTATCTGATGGATAATCCAACGTTTGCAGAGGATGAAGAATTACAGAACATGGATGAAGAAGATGCACTAATATGCTTTGGGGAACACATCTGGGCTTTAGAAAAGGAAGAAGAAGAAGAAAAACAGAAGACTTTGTTGAGAGAAAGGAGACGGCAGCGTAAAAATAGGGAATCTTTTCAGATATTCTTAGATGAACTACATGATCATGGACAACTACATTCTATGTCCTCTTGGATGGAACTGTATCCAACTATTAGTTCTGACATTAGATTCACTAATATGCTCGGTCAGCTGGTTTTTTCATTAGGATCAACTGCACTTGATCTTTTCAAGTTTTATGTTGAAGATCTTAAAGCACGTTATCATGACAAAAAAGATAATAAAAGACATGCTGAAGGATAAAGGATTTGTAGTTGAAGTAAACACCACTTTTGAAGATTTTGTGGCAATAATAAGTTCAACAAAAAGATCAACTACTTTGGATGCTGGAAATATCAAGTTGGCTTTCAATAGTTTACTAGAAAAGGCAGAAGCCCGTGAACGTGAAAGAGAAAAAGAGGAAGCACGAAAAATGAAAAGAAAAGAGTCTGCATTTAAGAGTATGTTGAAACAGGCTGCTCCTCCAATAGAGCTGGATGCTGTCTGGGAAGACATCCGGGAGAGATTTGTAAAAGAACCAGCATTTGAAGACATAACTCTAGAATCTGAAAGAAAAAGAATATTTAAAGATTTCATGCATGTGCTTGAGCATGAATGTCAACATCATCATTCAAAGAACAAGAAACATTCTAAGAAATCTAAAAAACACCATAGGAAATGCTCCCGCTCTGGATCGGGATCAGATTCAGATGATGATGATAGCTATTCAAAGAAAAAAAGACAGCGATCAGAGTCCCATTCTGCTTCAGAACATTCTTCTAGTGCTGAATCTGAGAGAAGTTATAAGAAATCAAAAAAGCATAAGAAGAAAAGCAAAAAGAGGAGACATAAATCTGACTCTCCAGAATCAGATACTGAACGAGAGAAGGATAAGAAAGATAAAGATCGGGAAATGAAAAAGACAGAAGTAGACAAAGATCAGAATCAAAACACAAATCACCTAAGAAAAAGACTGGAAAGGATTCTGGTAACTGGGATACTTCTGGCAGTGAACTGAGTGAAGGGGAATTAGAAAAACGCAGAAGAACCCTTTTGGAGCAACTGGATGATGATCAATAAATTATACCAAATATATGTTTATAGTATGATTTAAAGTCTAATTCAGACCAGGGATTATTTTAAGTTCAATTTACATAATAACACTGGGTTTTAATTGTGTCACAGGAAAAAAAAGTGCATTTATGTATTGTTATTGTGGACTTTATAAAAGCAAAGGAAATTGAAAATAACTTGATTCTGTATCAAGAATCATATTTTCCCACAGTCATAACTGTCTTTCTGTGACCCTTTCCTAGGGCACTGCAGGATGGATTAAAAGTGGCAGTTTACTGATAGCTGCAGACATCTCTACTTTGTTCTAAGTCATAAGGGGATTTGATTTACTTTATAGAAGTTGAATTTTGAAGATACAATGAACATTTTTTTTGATAATGTAATACAAAAAAAGCACCAGCAACCCATGATAAGAATGCTTTTTGTGCACTACTGAACTGCTGAAAGCCAACGTGATCTTTTATGCTGAGCTCTTTTTTGGTTTTTCGAGACAGGGTTTCTCTGTGTAACTTTGCGCCTTTCCTGGAACTCACTTGGTAGCCAAGGCTGGCCTCGAACTCACAGAGATCCACCTGGCTCTGCCTCGCTAGTGCTGGGATTAAAGGTGTGCACCACCAACGCCCGGCTTTATGGTGAACTCTTAAGAAAAGGTGTTTTTGATGGAAACTTGGTAGACCTTTAACTGGCAGTTCTCATGAGCACTGCTGTAATAAAGCCACCATTATTTTTATGAAACATCTGAATACATTTTAAAAAGGCTATGAGGGCATTATTTTGAGCATCTATTTTGAGGTGATGTTTTAAAATAGCTAACATCAAATCAAATTGTAAATTACTTTAAATATATTGCCTTAAGCACCTACTAAAGAATGTGCCACCAAACTTTTGAGTGATAGTTGAAATATCCTTGTAGTAGGGGGAAGAAAAATCAATGTGGACTTAAACATTTTCTTTGAATTTTTAATCCAATCTTTCTCTTTCACTTTTTTTTAATTCCATTGAGGAGGTTATAAATTGCCTTCCTTACTCACTGAGAAGTATTGACTCTATGGTACACAGTCTAAAGCATTTTGGATTTCAATATTTTTGTATATTTTTATCTATTATTAAACCTTCTCTTGTAGTGTGAAAAAAAACACACAGAAGTGTAAAATAAATAAGTCAATTAAAATAATCCAGAATAGGAAACAAACAAATAGAAAAAGTTATCAATCCCCGCTGAGTTCATTTTGTGTTGCCATCTACTGCCGCGCATATGGCCTGCCCTTCAGTGTCCTTTGTGTATCCTGTGAGACCTCATGGGAGAAACAAAATTTTCCTTTCATTTCCTAAGCAGGTTTAAGTTTCTGCAGTGATTAACTGAAAAAGAAGTAACAAAAAATTGGTCATAAGAGAAGAGGAAATTGTCTTTTTTTGTTTGATTTTTTTTTTGAGACAGGGTTTCCATGTGTAACAGCCCTGGCTGTGCTGGAACTTCCTTTGTAGACCATGCTGGCCTCAGACTCACTGAGATCCACCTGCTTCTGCCTCCTGAGTGCTGGGATTAAAGGCATGAGCCACCACTGCCCAGGTGGAAATTTTTTAAAATGAGCTCATTCATGATATATTGTGTACCACACTAAACTTTGTCAGAAGATCAGAGGGACAAAGGAACAAGCCACTGCCAGGTCTTACCTCTAGGACTCCTCAACCTGAAAAGTCCTCAGCTGATAGGATTCAGGTTGAATGAGCTTCCTCAACCAAAAAGGCTACCACTGTTTGACTCTGTTTATCTCCTAGATTGAGTCAATCTTATGTAGTCCAGGGTGGCTTTGAACTCACAGACATCCAGGGGATCTCTGCCTTAGGAGTGCTAGGATTAAAGGTAGGTGCCACCACTGTCTGGCATCTATGTTTAATCTAGTGGCTTGTTCTGTTCTCTGATCTTCAGGTAAATTTTATTAGGGTGGACAATATATCACCACATTCCTGCATTTTTGTCTAAAATAATAAGAAGAGATTATAGCTAATATAAGAAAAACTATATACAATACGTATATACAATACATACAGATAAGAATTACATTAACAGTGTCCAGTCCATTAACATTTGACAAATTCAGACAAAGAGCTCCATTATTTATCCTATTTTGGTAAGTCCAAAATGTTGTACCTAATTCATTTCCTACCCTAACTTGTGTTACTAACCGAAAAGTGTCTTTTGAGGTCTTTCAGACTTGTACACTTAACACCTCTTTTGTGAGTTTCTTTTCTGCATTTGTTAGCATGGAAAACTATAGCTATAACTATCTAGTCTTCAGAGCTCATGCTCTTTCTTCAAAATGTAATAAATACTTGATGGTGGAAAACAAACCTGGACAGATTACCTCCCTAAAGATAGCTTTGACTCTAGATCAAAATTTATTAATGTAAGCAATGTTCAATTTAATTCTTATAGTAACAAGGACAAGTACTGTGGAGAGAGTCATAAGGTACAACAAAGACATTTCCACACTCAGACCCCACACTTTAACCTAAAACTTCTTTAAAACACACCTCTCCAGTTCTAGTATTCTAATATTCAAAGAGAATCCAAAAATACATAACAGCTCATATATATAAGGACTGCATTGACTTCTGGACAAATAGTTGCTCATCATTTTTATCATTTACTTCTCTGTTCCCTGTGAGAAAAATTACCTGAAATGAAAAATGTAATGGCAGATAGGCTTTAAGCTTCCTTGTTTTTAAGAGATATCATCAATATTAAGAGCAGACATAGTAGGATTCAGGAGAACTGCAGGTGGTGAGATTTGAGTGTATCAACTCTTTACAGAGTAGAGTACAAGGAACCTGAACTGGAGGCCAGAACCTGAGGTAGGTAGAACCCTCAAAAGTCTGTGAATAATGACCTACTTTCACCATAGAGGCCCAAACTCTTCAAAATCCTACAATCTCCTCCTATAACCAGAACCTCAGTATCACAATCAACTGAATTAGAGAAAGAACAGCAGCCATAAATAAAAATATCCCCAATTTCAAACACACACCCAACACCTAAGTGTAGTATTGAGATGGTATGGTCCACAACGCACCATCCCTTAACATCTGGTCTGCTTGGTATATAACACACAATGCCTCTGTGTGGGTTCAACTCCACACCATGCATATGGCTTTCCTCAGCAAAAGACGTCCCAGATGCAATACCCTCTGAGGCCCTCCCTCCTCACAGGACTCTGGGCATGCCTCACAACACTGGTCAGTTAAGTCGGAAACCTTGATGCACACTTCCTTGGAAGAGTCAAATACCAAGGAGCCTGGGGATCACACTGACTGAGTTTGTGTGTGTCAAGTGGTCCAATAGACAGGCATGAACATTGGCCTGTTCAGATGCAGATACTCTGACTAAAGTCAAGAAGAAAGAACCACAGATGACTGTATCTGTCAGGGCACCTAAAATGTAACTTGACATTTCTGACTAGAGACACATGTTTGAGATTGCATTAGTGCTACTTGGATAGGTCAAGGAAATGTCAGAAGAATATTGAGATGACAAATGCCATATAACCAACAGGACAACTCTGCTGATGTCCATGCCATTATTTCCTCCCATTGGGTTGACTTGTGTTTCCATATCTGAAGTTAAATAAACCCTGCCTCCTGTAAATAGATCTTTGCCAACTATTAGATCATAACCAGGAAAAAAAATTAGTAGTAGAGTGGCTTAACACAAGAATGTGAGAGAAAAAAATTAAAAATCACTATGGATTTTGCCAAGCCTTGATTGGACAATTGCATGTGACATCACATGGAGTCCAAGTGATGTAAGCTAGATATCAGCCAATAAAAGGGCTCCACCTAGGGCTGGGTTTAGTCTTTGTACTTCAAAGAAGCAGTTGGTTGGTGGGAGAGCAGTTGGATTCAGTTGCTTCTGCTAAATTTGGACTTTTCAAAGCCTGTTGGATCTCGACTTAGTGAGTATATTCCCCAGGCTTTCAGTTTGGGCTTTTGTATCTATTGGTATCTATTCATTGCTTTATTTACATCTTTGGTTTGGGTTTTGATTTGTGCCTGTAAATGCTTTTTCCTTATTTCACCTCATTTTCCTTTTATCAATTTCTTTCTTTGTCATTTTTGCCTTCGTTCTTGTGGAATTTAAACATATAGTGGTATAGATTAACCCTATAGCATGAGGAATTTGATCATGACTTCCCATATGTGACTATTTTGCATTTTGATTATATTTACATGCTATATTTCACTTACCCACACATTGAATGTGACAAGTACTTCCAAATGATCTAAGGTTCTTTCCTCTGCTTGTTCAGAATGCCTAGGAAACAAAATGTGACACTGGTATTTGTGGAACTAGAACATTTGAAGTAGCACTTTCTCTAGTTCAAAATGTTTTCCTGAAAAAGGCATTTCATTCCTTTGATGTACAATTATGACTTACCTCAGTGTTGTGTGTGTGCTCTGCTTTGTGTCAGTTTGTATGTGTGGACGAATCCTAATGTTCCTGGGTGATCGAGATGTATGGTCTTAATGTGTTGTTGAATTTGGTGTGAGCTATCTCTCATTAATGGTTTTTATAATCTGTTAGTCCAGGATATTGCCTGACACCAGCCTTTTTTT